AAAAAAATTAATTTCTTAAAAAAATCTTTAAAACTTAAATTTTAGACCTACTTTACAAACACATTTTTACCGACAAATTCAACCCTAGCATTCAAGCACTATAGTTATAGCCGAAAAAGGAAAAGAAATAGATAGATAGACAATAAACATCATAATTTACTTGAATCTTTAAATCATGATAGAATTTTGAAACGACATCATAATTGACTACCCTGGCAAGCACACATGTCTACATACAGAAGTTCAAGAAAAAATATATAGCATCATGAGCAATCAGCCTTAGAAAATTTAATTTAGCAGAGTGACTGCTCATGATGTTATATCGTTTCATGAAGCTCTCTAGCTAGGTCGTGTGCCGCCGGTTGGGAAAACACCACTCCTATCTACCGAAAACCAGCACCCAGCGCTGGAGCCCAATAATCTGCTCCATTGTCACTCCCCACTTGGAGCGTGCACGACGACACCGGAACTAGACATAGCCCTCTGCTCCTCAAATCCTTCTTTGGTTCTTCATCAGAATCCTAAAAAATAAAAAACTTTCAAATTACTAAATAACCCAACATTAAATAGGCAACAGAGTATTGTAAATACTGACAGAATGACCTTGCTGCAGCTACTATTTTTTATATATAGATGAGATTCGAATTTCCTGATTGAAAAAAAAAAAAAAACAATAATAAGTACCTGTTCAGGGCCTCCTTTCCTCTTCATGCACTTATCATTTAACAGCTGCCCAAAAAAAAATTGAATTGAATATTGGTACATGTTTGCTTAAAATTTTCAAAAATGGACTTTAATTATCCAAAAAAGAAATTCGGATGCTCTCTAATCATTCTTTCAATGATGTTTAAGCATAAAGGTATGGAGAAAAGCTGAGAGCATCGTCACTTCAACACACACTTTCTTTTGAAATTTTTTTTTTTAATATAAAGAATAGAAAAAAGAGTAAGTAGGTGAGAAGCTCTTTTCCAAATTCAAGTTTCCCACCAAGTCCCTTTGAAGTAAATTAAGGGTAATGGATCCAATAAATCTTTAACCTTTACCTGACCAGAGTCTTCCGGAAATATACAATTCCTTTCCCCTTGTACCTAACCAAGATCACCAGAACCAGATCACAATCATTAATCAATTAATGGGATCTCAGGCGCATGCATACAAAAAATTACGTGTTCTCTTTTTGGGCTTACAGAGTTTTGCTGCTGCCTCATGTTTCCTGATCCGGTTTCCCAGTAGGGAAAGCTGAGGACCTGAAAATTTTAATGGGGAGGGAATTTGTACCATATGTGATATTTAAAGAAGAAGAAGAAGAAGAAGAAGAAGAAAGGATGTTTAAAGGAATATTTAATATTTAGTACTCCCAGAGTACCAGAACAGAGCTCGTGGTAGTTTGTAAAAAAGCAGAAGGAAGAAAACATCACCTCAACTTGACTCTGAAGGAATCTGATGTACCCAATAGCCTCTAAAAGGACTGAGGCTGTGTCAGTCTGCAAAAAGAGTAAATTTTCACCACACCACATACCTCCAAAAAAAACTTATGTTAATTCCATCATCATCATCTTTTTTTCATTTATTTAAATTTGAACCCTTTTCATCTCAGGAAAAAAAAAAAAAAACTGCCTTTATGAGTCTCCCCATAAAGAAGACAAATGTTTTTATTCCATTTTCATCTTCTTTAAGATCCAATAATCTCTTGAGACTTAACAACAAAAAAAAGAAGAAAAAAAGAAATAGAGTTAAATTACGGTTTAGAAGCATTACCTTTCCAAATGGAGAAACTAGCTGGTGAAGAGCTGTGATTCTATCTCCTAGTTTTTCCTTCCTCACCTGCTTTAGATTAAATTAAAATAATTACTAATATTAATTTCATTCTTTGTGTTTTTGTTAATTTATCTAGATTATTTGTGTTATTCTTTTGATTTTTCTCGAAGAATCGTTTTTAGAAGAAATGGACAATGAAGTAAGACAATACTTCCCATTCCGTGGATGTTAGTGTGTGTTTATCTGTTTGTGGGTATCTTGTGTTCATGAGTCTATCTCTGAATGCGTCTTTGTGTGTGAGATAAAAAAAGAATCGGTTAGGTATTTTTACTTAAAATTTGTTCATTACCTTGAAGTTGGATTGGGTTGCAGAAGGTTGAACCCTAGCTTTCTTCATTGCTCCACTTCCAGTTGCAGAGCTGTGACACTACAAAAACAGAAGGAAGAAAGGAGAAACGAAATAAGAATTCTGATTTGATATGGATTGGAATGAATCAGAAAAAAGTACTTAATTTATCTTGACCACTTCATTGGTGAGACTGAAGGTTTGGATACCCATATTGTCAAAGGAAAAAAAAAGAACTTCATTGCGGTCTTCCTACGGTAACAAGTTTGAGAAATTTTGGGTCTATTATCACATCAAGAAAAATCTTAATACCCTAGAATATTTGAAATCATAATTTATATTACCTCAGAAGATCGATCTAGGGGAGGATGACTTCCATCAGGATTTTTGCTGGAGAAGTCCAACATGTTACTGCTGAAGCTTGTGACGCAGGACTTGGGGGATGAAGTGGGGATCGCCGGAGACCAAGCTGGCTTTGTTACCGGAAAATCTTCATTTGCATGTGAATAAACATAGGTACCGGAGCAGTTTTCTTGCTTGGCATCCGCAACAGAAGCACTGGAGGCTTGATTCATTGCCTGTTCTTCCCAGTTGTCCAGCTTTTTGGCTTGAAAAAGGCTGATCCCGCTCTTCTCTTCTTCACCCATAAGTCCCCCTCTAATGAAAACATCAAACAAAGTATAAGAAAAGAAACCCAATTGAATTCCATCACTATTTTTACATAATCAATTCATTGAGTTTAAAGATCGATGAAAACAAAAACCAAAAAGATGTGCATGGTTTAATTTGGAAAAGTATCAAAAGTCATCCTTAAGAGGATTAAGAGTTTGAAGGTCTCAAATCAAACTCTGGGATAGAGAGTGATAGGTTCGGAGAAAGAAGAGAGCTAACTACTATTGTACAATTGAACATAATTAGATGTACTAGAAAAAGTATATCAAAAACAAGGGGAAGAGAAATTACAATAGAAGTTGGCTCCAAGACTCAGGAACCTCCTGGTTATTATCATGCCAAGAAGGGAAAGGAAGGGGAGAAGAGGAGGATGAAGAAGAAGAAGTGGGTGTGTATTGATGAGTAAAGAAAGAGGGAGGAGGGGGGAGGAAAGGAGATGTTTGCTGATAAGGTGTTGGTGGGCGCATGGCGTTGATGCTCCACCAGTTAGGGTTTCCAGCCATCATCTGTTGCACAGGTGAACTCTGCAAGACTCCTCGGTTCATGGCCCCTTCTCCTTCTCCTCAGGAAGGGAAACTTTTATGGTTTCTTTCTCTTTCCCTTTTCTTGAAGCCCCCCAAACAGGTCTTTGTAGAAACTTTGAGAGGTGCTCCTGAGTGGCTTAAGTAGGGAAGACCCCAAGCGCTGTTGTTGAGAGAATTTGAATCATGGAGGTTTGAGTAGTATTCTTTGTTTTTTCAATATATCTTTCCTTTCTTTATTGCTTTGCCTTTTTCTCTCTTCCCTTTCTTTTATGTATTTCTTTTTTGCTTTGCTTTTTCACTGCTTTTGCTTTACCTCAAAGTGGGACAGAAAAAGGTGGTAGCTATTCTCGATTTCTAATTTGTCAATATAAAAATACTAAATAAAATAAAATAAAATAAAATAATTAAAAAAAAAAAAGGAGAATCGCTATAGTCACTCTTTGGTATACATTTTTTTCCATCATCTCTGACCTGTTGAGATTAATTTAATTATGATATTTTTGAGAAAAATGTGTTAGGAGATCTCTAAGGAAGAAAATGTGAGAATACAATACAAAATATTTATGAAATTATTTAAATATTTTTATAAAATTTTTATATTAATTTATTAAATATATTTAATTAATTTATAAATATTTTTATTTTCTTTTTAAGTTACCTAAAAATATGTAACTACATTTTTGAATTTTATCTAGAAGATGTTTGAAGCATTCGCTCTAACACCGTGCAACCGATACTCAGGCACTGCTTTTGACCCCTTACCTTACTTTTAAGAAGATAGACGAGAAATTGGTTGAACTTTAAAATATTTTAAACTTTGTAGAGAAAATCACTGTGTTAAAACTGTCTTTATTTCTTATTTTAAATTTATTCCATTGATCTTAAAATAATAAATTTTTTAACTCAAGATTCTTTTTAAATAATTGGCTTTTTTTTTTTCATATTTTAAGGATGATAAAAAAAGTTCTTTATTTTAATTTTATAATTATCTCTTATTTTAGTTATCCATCTTATTAAAAAAATATTTCTTTATTTTTACTTCTTTTTCAAAGATAAAATAAATAAAGATAAAAATTGTCTTAAATCCTTAATTTCAAAAAAAAAAGGCGAAAATGTTTATTATTTTGAAATGAAAAGCGTAATTATATTTAAAAAAAAAAAGTGACAACAAGATGACCTAAAATTTAAAATATCAAAACTCTCTATAAAATTATTTTAATCCCGTTAATGAATTTTTTTTTCTTGTATGTTGATTCATATAATTACCAAGATGTTCGGATTTTTCATAATTCATTATTTTTATTTCTATAATTTTTTTTAAAAAAATTGATAATAATCATAGAGATAATGGTCTCTTTTCAAATTGATTGAGAAGACTATATTGACTCTCTTGTATTTTTTCTTCTCATCAATCCTAGATATGTGCAATTACCACTGACAATGGATCAACTAATTGTATTTTTGATTTGAATGTTTTAAATAGTTGTACATCGTAGTTCTCTCTATGGTGACTGCACCTAGCATTTCGCTTTTATCCTTCTTAAGTCTTAACCCAACGCATTTAATGTCCTTGTTTGGCACTTATTTGTAAATGAAAGTATATGCTCTTGCCTTGAAACTTTTGTCCGAGGTAAATACTAGTAGAAGAGTAAAAACCATCTATAAAAAATTTTGCATTAGTTCAAAAAATAAAAATCTATAAAGAATTTTGCAGGAAAGTGATCTGATTGTGATTATCATGGCTACGTCAGGATGATGTGAAAAAGAAAATACAAATTTGGTGCTACCTTGATGGTGTCTTGTACTTAAAGGTACTATACATTTGCAAATCATTTTGGAGGATGTGGAGTAATAATGAATACTCTGTGTAAATAATTAATTGGGGGTTATAGAAATTAAAATAATAATTAATATATTTTTTAATTTAACATATTTTATAATATATTTGTTAATAAATTATTATTTTTAA